TGCTACTGCTGCTGCTACTGCTAATGCTACTACTGCTGATACTACTACAGATACTGCTGTTATTCTAGTATTTTATCATTATTGCGACTCGGCTTTTTGATTCTGCAGGCCATGACTCTAAGACTCTAAGTGCTTGAGCCAAGCAGAAAGCCGACACGGTCACTGGCTTCGAGCTCACACGCCAGGAACGCCTTTAGGACCCAGCACCGGAATGAATGCCCACCAACTGGTCCGTGCGGCTGTGCACGCACCTCACCCCAGAGGAGCGCAATTAAGCCAAGAACCCGAGACAGAACGCTATGGCCAGACTCCCTACCCGCAAGCAGTACAAGAGTTTGGCGCGCTGGTTCTGTGCCACCACGTGGATCCCGCAGCAACTAGCCGCGATTTGAGTCGCTTGCCGCAAGGACGAGCACATACCTCACATTGGGAGGGACATGTCCGAGTAAAAGAATAGAAAGCAGATCAAGAAGACGGACTGTGCAGTACTATGCCCACGGAGGTGTTGTGCAGCCCCACTGCAGCAGGTCGGCATCATGACGCACATGATCAACAAGATTCCGAAGCTGTGCGAGGCAGGCAAGCCCGGCCCAGTTTGGATCTCAATTGTGTGAGACCTTTGGGGACTAGAGTTGCCGGTTGCGTCAACCCAAGGCCTGTCGTCCACCGACACTGCCCCTGAAGTTGTGCGCCGGCTCCCTACCGGGTGCATTCTGCACGTCCACAGCAGCTGCGCATGCTGTGCTCTGCATGCAGCACGCCAGAGGTCATGCCATGGGAGCACCGGATAGGCAGCCTTGGTGCCAAGCCTCAGCAAAGACGGCGCAGTGTCGCAATAAAGACCCCAACATGAGCCATGCTGCCAGAGTCGCAATGAGAAGGTTCTCGATACTCAGAGGCACATTGGGATGGAATCACGCTGGCGCCTTATGCACCTCATGGGTTTCATCCACTTTCACAATGGATCCCGGGCTGGTCCAGGTTTGGACATTTCGCTGCCGACGACTGTGGAAGGCCTTCCATAAGCTTCACGCCCGGGCCTTGGACGCCATCATCTGGTGCTCGTGACAGAACATGTTGCTTCGATTCTTGTTGTATTGATGAGATAGGTTTTTGAGATCTGGGATGCCGGATCGGTCGAGGGAGCCCGGGTCAGAACTTGAGGTACAATCCCACCAACGTCGACACCGCGTTTCCACAGTTGTTCTCCGAAGTCAACTGGCTTCCATCTGTGGAGGCCTTTTTGAGACTCGGCCTGTCTTCCCAGATAGGAAGACCGTTGATCTTCTCACTAGAGCAGTCCAGAATTCCAAGTTCCTGTATTGCTGTATCGCTCGGCGACTTATTTGGCTTCAGCAGGCCACCGCGCGAATGTGGATCGGCGAGTCCAGCATCACTCACAACAAGGTGCCTTGTCTTCAACACATCAATATTCAGCTACGGTTTTCGTCGGTTTCTCGCTAGCCGGTGTGTGTATTGACGGCTGCAGGTTCGGCTGACCGGAGATCTCGATGGTGCAAACCAGATGGCTGACGCCCCAGCATCTGGCCCTGTGCATCTGGCCCTGTCAAGCGCCGTGTCTGCTTGGATGACTCTGCGCTGCAGACTCTCACGGATGTGGATGGTACGCTCTTGGGGTCCTCGCAAGCGGATGGATCTGCTTGGACCTCAGGCTTCATGGAAAAAGGGAAGCCACAACAAACCGCTTTGTTGCGTTATGTGGCCCATGACCTTGCTAAGTTGGTCACCGTCTACAATCCAGGGCTGGCAGAGCAAAGCTGCACGACATGGCCCCAGTGTAGCGTGCCAGCTCGACGCTCTCTGGCGCTCCTGTCCTGAGTTCCATGGTGCTTGAGCCAAGAACCAGCAAATTCAACTTCTCCACTGCAAGGTAGAAGTTTTAAGTAACTACGGGTTTGGCGAGCGTACTCAGAGTGGCACGGGTGTTTAGGAATACTGGTGAATGTATGGTTGGAGTGTCTTTGTGCACCTACAGTGTCGCACAAGCCCAGATGTTATGTTCATGCGCTGGCGCACTGAGGGAATTTGGTAGCAGCTACTACAGCTGTCCTGATCTGCGGCTGCGCTACATGACCTGGGAGGTGCGCCGGAGCTTCGCGTTTGTACTAGCCATTCACGTCGGGATATGTCGCTTGCAGAGGCAGTTGGAGGTCCATCTCACCGTGTCCTCAGCAAGTTCAAGGCACCAAGTTCACCCACTGACAAGAGCCAGGGCCAGCTGACGCGCCTTGAGACTTGTGCAGAGGCCTGGAGAGCCTCCGATGACCGCTCTACCTGGTCTACCGGTGGGAAGTTGAAGATTCAGCCTCTTGTACCTCCCTCTGCCACTCCCCTTTGAGCAGCCCCCGGTGTTGCAGGTCCACGGCCTGACAAGGGCTGCACCCTGAGATCGCCATGTCCAGAAATGGTCGCAGGTCCAACCTCCTGCAGCCTTGAGGTTGCATTCCCGACGAAGCTGAGCAAGACCGAAACTGGAAGATTCGTACTCTCCTGATGGGCTTGTGATGCTTGCATTCAGCGCATGTAGGTTGAGGGTATGCTGAGATGATGTGTTTCTGACAGGCCCAAACGACATGTACAACCTCACCATGTGCGGGCTTTAGCGTTAGCATTGCATCTTTCGGCAGCGTTTCTGCCTACCCACAGGTTCACATCTCCACCAAAGCACCACCGACTGTTCTGGTTCAACGACAACCAGGATCTTCACCTTCGGAGGGAAGCCTGCTAGACATCACGAGCTCGGCAGAAGATGACAGGACGATTCGATCCGACTTGACATCTTCTTGACCCAGCCATTCAGACTGGAGGCAACCGGCATCTTCTTCCGATTGTTGAGAAGCCGGGTCTTGCAGAAGTCTTCGGAGAACGACCGATTCATTCAGTTCTGACTGCACAGGTTTATGTTGACGGCGCCCTCATGCCGGAAGATTCCTACGACACTGCTAAGCCATGGACCTGGACTGGCAGGAAAGGCAGCAGGACGTCAGTGAAGATCGTTATTTTGCGAGCTTGAAGTCCCTTTGTGAAAGCGGGTCATTATGCTGAGCTGCATTGTAATACATCATATCACAACGTTCTACATTACGCTGTGTTCTTGCCTATCCTACTATACTAGTTTGGCATGGCAGCATAGTACATACAATGCCCATGGCCCATGCCGCGTCAATGCAGAGTCAGCTCGCGCGCCCGCGTTCAGAGGCTGGAGCCTCCGCGCTTGCCGGAGCTCTCCGACGCGCACGGCTCCTACGCCTTCGACCCGCACGCGCGCCGGCCTCGGAGTCACAGAGACGTGCATATGGCCCTGGGTTTGGAGCACCTGCACACGGAGCTGTATGGGGATTTTCTCTCTGCGTGCCGTGAGGCGTCGCTTCTATGTCATTATGAAAGGTGGAGTTTTCGGTGGTCGTGTCTTCGCCTTATCCGCACCCAGTTCCGAAGCATCAAAAGCTTCCAAGCTGAGTTTGCAAGGCTGCCACGAGGGGCGGTGGCTTCATCCTGCTGCGCCTTCTGCAGGCATGTTTGAGCTGTCATGTGGCTCGTCAACGGGGTCTCTGATTGTGGACGATCCAGGTGGTTCAGATCTCAATGACCGTGCAAGGGCCCCAGATGCCAGCAATTAATTGATGAGTTCGCCACGGAAGCAGGCAGTTCGCTTCTTTGGCCATCTGTAATCCTATTTTTGGTATCGGATAGCCTGGTGTTTCAAAAACTTCCTCCTTCGCCCTGAGGGCCGTGCCCTTTAGCACCTTCGACGGAGATGCCGTCATAAACAATGTCGCAACACTGTCGGATGCTTGGATTTAGGATCTGCGCATCGTTCAATCAGGGCAGAAACTGCGCTTGCTGTTCTAGAACCACTGAATGTCTGCAAGGCTGCAGATCGACCCCTCGCGCATCAAGATCGTCTCTGTGCAAAGCAGAGCGAGCCTGGCACGATTATAAGTTTCCAAACTGCTAAGACATATCTCCTTGTCATGTATCTTATGAGCTTGAACTAAGTAGCAGGAGCATCGTCTTCAAGCATCTTCCCAGTTTATGGCACACGGCTGTAGTGACAGGACTTGATAGTCAGCATGCGGAGTTTAGCTCCTTGCTGTACAACTTGATGAGCCATGTGATACGACGTGTCTTGAACCAATGCTAGTGCCGCCTGGTATCTGTTGGAACTTCGTGGACAAAGCTAGAGCATTCGCCTTCGGTGGACACGAAACTCTCGCGACGCAGCCGGCATTCATGAAGAGACGAGGGCCGGACAGAAGAGGCGAATCGTAGTGCAGCTTAGATACGTGGGGTGCTCTCCTATCCGTTAGCAGAGCTTTTAAACCCGCGGAACGCGGTGAGACGGATGCGTTTTGGAGCCAAATTCCCGATGAGAACCTGCCAAATGAGTGCCACAGAGAGGGATTGAATTGCAGCCGGTCGTCTTGCGCTTGAGACTGCGCGACTTTGAGTCAGGCGGAAGTTGCTGCCCAAGGTGGACGTCTGCTGCAGGCGGATGACGGCGTGCCCAGGTCTCAGCATACGGTGAGGAGCTGGAAGGGGCTGTGCAGAAGGAGCAGGCTATAATTGCCGTCACTGGTCACCAGTTTCCGGGCCGTAAGCATGAGGTCTCTAATCTTCCAGATCGTGGAGCCGAATCCAGAGCCTGTGCCTGGAGAGGCGAGATGAATGTCATGCTGTCCAATGACGCCCAAGCAGGGGGCGTGAAACCGCCAGGCTTTCTCCGAGTCTGGAGCCCCGCATGGACCTTACAAATCTGTGGTGGTGGTCAGTGACATAGAGAAGCGGTGCGAAGACACCATGGATCAGCAATGCCCCGGCCGTGTAACCAGTACAACTAGCCTTCGTGGTGCACTCTGGGCATCCATCGCTGTGGTTGTTTGTGAGAGATCAGTGGATACAACATAGTTACTGACACCGGGCGCCCAGTGCCCCAGAGGCAGTGGTGCGCATCTCAGAGGTTAGCTGTTCTCTGAGGCCTCCGAATGGTTCTTCCTGGGAAGATGTGATTCCGGCGGCCCCAGAATCAAACGAGACATCCCAGAACCAGACCACAGGACTGTCCCGCACCTGTGCAGCACCTCAACTGGTGCACAGAACAGATCTGCAGGAGAGGACTCCACAGAAAACGCCTTTGAGTACAGCGAGCAGGGCCTTGAAGAGTTAGCAACTCTGGTGCAGCAAAGGGCTCAGCTCGCTGGCAAGGACTGCTTCTTGCAACTGCCTAGTACGGACGGATGCACAGTCGCCCGAGGGTCCTGCAAAATGCTTCGGAAGTGGGCAGCTCAGAGCTACCCCGAACTGCTTTTGCATCTTACGAGCATTCGACATATGTCTGCATCTTGTCTCGCAGACCGGGGCCTTGTCACAAGCCCTGAACGCAGACGTCATCATCGAGAGTGCGCGGGCCTTGGCTTACCGACACCTTTTGAGTGATTTGTTCACGGCTGTACCCCGTTTTGACGGGCATGTGTTGCTCAGATCGAGCTGACGGATACCACTCAGCCCGAGGCTGGACGCCTGAAGGAGTCTTTGATCTGTAATGACCCTCGCCGGCTCCGGCTCCATGCTCCTGTTCGCTCCGGCTCTCTCGCTCGTCTTTCTCTCTTCCTCTCTCTCTTCATCTCTCGCTCGCTCTCTGTGATTGTCTCGCGCGAGCTCCCTTAATCAGCCCGAATCGCTGTTCCATCCCTCTCTCCGTCCCATCCTTCCTTCGGTCCATCTCTCTCGCACTCTCTCTCCATTGATGTCTCCTCTGTCCCCGGTCCATCTGGCTTCGTCTCTCTGGATGTCCATCCATCTCGCTCACCTGCGAACGCAACACACAGAGCGATACTTGCATGCGCCTGCTGGTAGTATATGGGATAAGTCCCACGATTCTCCGGAGCGTGATTATGTGCGAGTTGGGTATCGGACGGCAAACGGCAGCTTGTCAGAGCTGCGTTTGAGCGGGGCTTCAGGTGCCACGAGTCCAGAGAGTTCTTGAAAACCTTGAGTCGCAACACTTTGGTGAGAATCAAAGTTTATGTGTATGTCAAGGCAAGGAAACTCGGCTCCTTCGTGACAGTCGGCGTACTGGTTGAAGCGTGCACATTGAGTCTTAGGGGCAATCTGTTGCAAGCTTCTCCCCTTAACCTCGGTTGTTCAATGCTTTTGCAAGCTAAGTGCGGATTATCTAACACTGCCATTAGCAGTGGTAGAGGCAATGTGGACGAGTAGTCTACCCCAAGATTGATGCAACAAGAATACAGGGTTCGGACATGTGGCTTCATGCCACTTGTGATGCGAGGCCAACATTACCGATGCCAATGACACCAATGTCACCACGTCTACTACCACCACGACGGTCAACAACGAGACCGCAGCCGGACCCTTTGTTCGAGTAAGAAGCAGAGTGCCTGTCTGACTGGCGAGCAAGTCAATGAGGCTCCGGAGATCGAGGAGGCCAAGCCACTGTCGATATGATTGCAAGGCCGATTGTGTTTCAAGTTCTTCTTGCTGACACTCTTGCAGGACAGTGGCTTGGTGCAGTCTATCCTAATTGGGGTGCGAAGCTCATGATTCACTGCAGATGCTGCCGGATCTGCAGCTTCTTCTCAACCTGAGCTCACTGCTAGGCTGCTGTCGGTGTCGGCGTTGGAGTTCTGATGATGGGAGTTGGTTACATAGTGCGGAACCTCAGGCTTGTTCCAGCTTGGCGATGTTCCTGCGCTGGCATGTTCTGCCACTCAACCACTGCATGCGGCAAACATTCACACTGCTTGCAGCAAGTAGTTGTGCCGCCCCCGAACCCCTCTGTGGTGCTTCAGCAAGCACACCTGCACACCTGAGAGACGGCACAATGGTATTTCAGGGGAGTGGGAGTGGATTGCAAACCGCAATGCTACATGTGCGGTTTGCATGTTCTCGCACAGGGTGATCTTGTGCTGGCGTGTTCTGCCAAAGCCGTGTGTGGTTGCAGCAGTTCAAGGTGAGGAGACGCCTCTACTCCAGCACTGCAAGATGCCCAGGAAGACAGATTCATGCAGCCACCGTAGAAAGAGAGACCGTCACCAAGGTCCATCATGCGGACGGCGGCAGCGATGTCCAGCCTCTCAGCCCGGTGTAGGCAAGCAGTGCCGCATTGCAAGGCATTTAGATGCGAAGATGTTTGGGCGAAGATGGTCGAACAACTTCGAACGTGCCAGGATGGCCTTCGCGGCAGCTGCATGTCATCTCACCTAGACCCCGCGGCAGCCAGATATATGTTTGTCTATGTATCTAACTCTGTATCTATGCCCCTAGGAATCCCCTAGGTATAGCTATATCTGTATCTATATCTGCATCGGTACCTGTATCTGTATCTAGAACAGTATCTATACCTCTAGCTATACATGTATCCATATTCTCCGAGTTCCAACAGGGTCCTAGGCCCTCATGCGGGGTGCAATCGAAGAACACAGCGAAAGCAAAGTTACCTGGCATGCCGCGTACTGCCCAGCCCCTTGGAAGCAGGGAGGCTGAGAGGCATCTGAGAGTTGTCGGGATTTTGATGCAGAAGGGCAGTGAGCGTCCTAGTGCATGCACACTTCGGACACAAAGGGGGCTGATTGAGCCTCCTGTAACCTTTGAAAAGTGCTTTCGCCGCTGCTGCGATAAAGCGCTTGGCAACAAAAGACTGAACCTGTTCTGAAGGGTGTCCCTTGTTGTTTGTTGTTAGATGAACATAGGCATAGGCTCCATATGGCAACGCAGCGGCCGTAGACCATAGGAGCCGCTCGAGCAGGCTCACCACGTCTGCTTTTGAGTGCACAACGTTGCTCGACTCTTTGACACGCCGTGGCAGGGTGCCAGACGGCCGTGCAGTCTGGACCGGCTTACAATAGCAGTCCCGTGCATGAATCCTTGAACAAGACGGATAGTTCGCTCAAACAGCAGGTGCGCAAAGCTGGAACTTAGCAGAGACTTGGCCGCGTCAACTTAGTTTGCTTGAAGATAGCACGGCCGGCGGAGACCTTCGTTGCCTTGGGCGACCGGAGCAGAAGATCGGAGAAGGTGCCAGGAGGTCAAAATCTCCGCCAGTTACATATTCGATAATTGAACACCTGCCCGCATCTGCCCGCGACTTCTGCTTCTGTCGAGCAAGAGGCGTGTTTTCGGTTGCGTCACGACGTCCCTACAGGACGCACTCACTCCGAAGTGTTTGATGTTGCATCCTGCCATTCTTGGATCATGGTCGTATGCAAGTCGTATACAAGTTGCGGCATGCCGTCGGCCTTTGATCGCAGAATTTATTTCCAAACCACTGTGCGCTTGACCCAACTCGTAGAGTTGAAACAAAAGGGTACGCCCCTGAGCCCGGCACAGGAGCGGAGCCTGTCGGGGTTTCCGTACACCAGTACAGAAAAAGACCACCTTGGTGTGATCTTCTGTGGCCATGTGGCTCCTGTCAAGCCAGAAGTGCGGAGAGTGACATGGCCGAGTGCATGTGGAGCCATGGTCAGGGGCCTACTTGTGATGACAGCTGCAGGAAGCAGCATAGTGTCTGATTCGACTTTGCAGCAAGACCTGCCGTGGATCTGAACTGGCCTCTGCTTACTTCCGTCGAGAGTCGCCGCTAAGGCTCTAGAGGCTTTGGAGCCAAAGCGTGATTGGGAGGATGTGGCTCTGTATCTTTCCCGTCAAGCATGGCAACTGCTTCAGCGAAAGTGAAAGGAGTTTCGAGCATGGATGGTAAAGGGCTCAGCGAGTATTGTGAATCATCTTAGACGAGCACGGCGCAGAAGAAGTTGCCAAGGATTTGCAGCCGCGGACTCCCAGAAGACGGGAAGGACGGACGTGCAGATTGGGCTTGCAAGACGATCCGACCGGTTGTCAGGAGAGATTTTGTCGTACCGGCATACGTTGGCCATAGCTGGCCAGGGGCTCGGGCTTCGCTGCTTCGCTCCTGACATTCTTTGCAGAAGTCCAATCGAAACAGCTACTGATCAGCTACTACAAGCGGGGAAGGCCCCTTTGTCACGCCAGTGCCGCCAGCCACCCCCAAGGCCTGAGCGTCGCTGCTGGGAACGGCGACGATGTTAAACCTGCTTCAATATCCCTCCACGAGCCGGAGACCTTGGCTTCACTGCTTCACTGCCTGACGTAAGAATCGTGGCATGCTTCTGTTCAGTCCCAGGTCTGCACTTTACAAACATCCTGTCCCAGTTGTCTTGCCTGCGCTGGAACAGGCTGGCGGCAGGATACAAGGTTTGTCAGGGGGTTATGACTCCAACATGGCAATGACGAGAATTTGCATCTTGCATGATCTAGCATGGTAGGTCGTACCGGGAGCAATTCTGACCGAGATGTGTGCCAATCGCGCCGTGTGCAGACTCGCCAAAAGTGGGAGCGCGATCGAGTGTGCCAATCGATCAAGTATGGCGGATCTTACGTCTGCGGCCCAGAGCAGCAAAGACAAAGCAGTCCCAAAACTTTGGAAAGTTGGGAGCAATTCTCTTGTGCCCTGCTGCAGCAACCTTCCACTTCCAAAGCGCGCTTCACGGTGGATTTGCCCTTCGGATCTCAAAACCGCGTGCTGGGCATGGCTTTGCGATGCTTCGTGCAGATTTCGCCATGTGTGAGACTAACAAGATCATGCTAGCCCTGTCTGGTCTTATGCAGCCTTCTGTTCATTTCCGACCATGCCAGGCAAGTATTGCTTTGATGCCAAAGTGGATCCGACCAAAAGCGTTCTGGCTTCTCAGATTGCCAAGGACGTGATGCCCCCTCGTGGAATGTATGCCCACTCCCATATCTGCAGCACCAACCTTTGACCACAATCCGGCAGCAACTTCAGCAGATTCATCCTTTGCTGTCGCAATTCTGATAAATCTGACTTTGTTTGCAGGAGCAGCAGCAAGCGAAAGAGGAAGAGCGAAAGATGACCAGGTGCATCTCCAAGCAGTTGCATGATGTACTGCGCCCTGCAGGTTCAAGCTCCGAAGGTCACGACATTGCTCACACTCGGACAAGCATTGCCGCTGTGAGGCGGAACTCGCTGATGAAGATGATGGGTGGAGCCCCGGGCGTGCAGGACATTGAATAACCTACCTCTATCGGGTTTTGAAGCGCTGGCTACTGCATGTTACCGCTGGTTGTGGTACCCGCTGACCTGGGCAGTTGTGCAGGAAGCCCCGGATCCTGCCAAGCGACATCGCATCGTCGAAAAGCTGATCGGTAGAAACAGTGGTGGCCTTTGTGAGCGGTGAGATCCGGTGTCTGGGCCTGTAACCACGTGCAACTAAGAATTCCAACAAGACACCCTGGAAAAGATCTGGGAGGAGTTGGAGCAGGTCGGGAGCGGCGACGTCTGGGAGTGTCGTTTCGTGTCGGACATACCTGGCCAGATTGAAGCTCCGGTTTGCTCTGAGAACAGACAGTCAGAGGACTTCAGCATGCATTCTTGCGCATCTGTCAGGCACCGGCTGTGCCGTCTGGGAGAGCCATCGCTGCAGACTTAGATACATCAGTCTGTCTGATCTTCTGCGACTGAGCCATTGTCGCAAGCAAGGCTCTCAAGATGATGCACAAAGTTAAAGGCGGGCGCTGCATGTCAAGAGCACAAACCCGATCTTGTTGCGGCCTCTCACCCTCTCCCCTCTGCACCCTTTGCCCTCCCCGCTGTGCCCCCTGTGCCCTGCACCCTGCCCTGCCCTGCGGATCTTTTTGTGGATGATGGCTAGCTTCTGTAGCTGCTTCTGTCGCAGCCGCCTCGGGTTGCCCGTCGAGCCTGGAAGTTGGGGTCCCAGCGAAACAGACGCTCCCAGGCTCAGGGCGCTAGTGAGTCTCTCGATCCTTGAGCTCCTCTATCTCCTTGAGCCAAGACTCTTACCATGTTCAAGGCCCCGATCTTCAACTGGATGCGGAGCAAGTTTAAGCAAGCGGTCAGAAGCTCGGATGGGCAGGAAACTCTTCGATCTGAAAGTTGTGAACATGGCTTCCGTTTCCCAGCCGCCCAGAGGTGAAGGCGAACCCGTCCATTGAGCCAGTGAACAAGGATGGGATGTCACTGTGTGCACGGGTGTCATACGCTACTTTCGGCATTCGTGCAGGAAAGCTTCTTGGAGTTCTGCAAGTTTGCTGGCCTCCTGCTCGAGTGAGCCTCGCATGCTGACAGTACACTGCCTTCTTGGTTTAAGGGAAATGCCTGACACGTGCGCACTGGGTTGCGAGGTACGAGACACATGAGGAAGAGAGACGCCAAAGCTACCAAGCAATTCCTGAAGAGTTGGTTTTGGTGAACGACTAGGGTGTGGACAGCAGCCCCAGTCTCCCAAAGGAGCTGTGCCCGTTGCTCACGACCGCGGTCGTTTGTTCCAGATTATCAAATGAACACAGAATGACATCTTGAAGTGCTACGCGCTCGACTCCTTGCCACAGAGTGACGACTGCGCACCAAAGTCCAGGGTCTCCTTGCAGCCTTGGCATTCACAATTTTGCAAAGCAAATGCTAACAAACCCCGCTCTTTGCTGCAGTGGACCCCGATAATGCGAGACTTCGCCGAAATGTTTGCGGCTGGTCTTATTGCCATCTCTCGGCTGCGGACTTCGAAGAAGTCACATGTGCCGTTATGTGCAGTAGCCTGGAGCCTTAGCTTGGAAAGAAAAGGCTTTACGGCCACTTTCTCATGCACTTTCCGCTACACTTGATTTGATCATGAACTGTGCAGCTTTTTCTGCAGTCAACCGGTGAAGTGGGAAGCTCGCGCCTTTTCCCCGTAGAGGAGGATGGGACGATCGAACCGGAGCAGCAAGCGGCTACCCAAGTTTCTCGCAGTCGTCTGACCTGTTGGCTCAAGATAACTCCGGCGTCCGCTGGGCTGACCATCATGGGGCGCTCGAGTGGCAAGCGGCTACCCAAGTTTCTCGCAGCCATCTTTTGCGATGTGTTTGTCGTGACCTCTCCTCCACTCCTCACTCTCACGCGTACTCACTCCCCAGCTTGGTTTGTCCCTCACTCCACTCCAGCTGACACTCAGATCCATCATCACTCAGCCACTTTATGCATGCAGGTGACAGTCGCGCACCTGCTCATTGGTTCCGCCCACCCGCTCAACTCACGCCACCTGCTCAACTCACACCATTATGGCATCATCAGAAATCATCACTGTCCACCTGAGGGCACTTACTCGCATAAACTCCGTCACCTAGTCGCTCCTTGAACTGCTTCAATCGCTTTCTGACTGTCACTTCACTCAGTTCCTCCACCCACCTGAGTCACTCACTTAAAGATTGCGCTCACTGTTTTCAATCACTGTCTCGCTCTGTCACTCAGTCTCCTATGGCGCTTACCCACAGCCGCCGTGGTGTGCTCACTTCGTCTGTCCATTGTCCTTTGACACTCAGACTCAATCGCAGCGTGCACCGGTCACAGCATCTAGTGCATGAGTTGGCTTTGTGTGTCCATCAACCCCAGTCACATGCAGAACTTAGCCGTGGCATTCCGGCAGAGGGGTAGAGCGGGTGGTCGAACGAATGAAGAGAGCGGGCGAGTGTCTGTCATCTTCGTTCACCTAAGGCGCCATTTCCGGCCATTCTCCATGCAATGGTTGGAGGCCAAAGCATTTATCTGTTTTTTTAAACACCGAAAAACTCAAACCCATGTGCCAGGCAAAGAACCTAAACTAAATGTAAAGCATGCGTGTTCATTTACCGTTACCTCAATTTGGCTCTCTGTTACGTTCGTTCCCTAAGGGGCCCTGTCACCTGTCTTAAGCCTTTTCTTTAAGGTTCAGGGGTAGGTATGCAGACAGATGTACCAAAATACTCTGAGCAGGGCCAGTCGGAAGCAAGAGTATTGAGCGAAAGCCGGATGCTCCATCCTAGCGACTGTACATGATTCGGTGTTCAGGCTGCCGTGGCTTCACGGTTGGATTGTCATGTGGATTGAGTTTCGGCAACTGAGGGCGCAACTAGCCACCCAGTCTGGTATTTCATTGTGCACTTTGGTCATCTTGCCCCACTTGCTCGCCGACTAGTTTACCTTTGAGACCAAGATTGCAAGATTGCTGGCAAGTTGCTCACCCCCAAGTGGGGCAAGTGGCAATCTTGCTCAAATAATGATTAACAAATTCCCGGCACACTGCGGTATTTCTTCCGAAGAGTCGCAGCGCTTGGAAGCCGTTTGGGCCAGAGGTTCGAACTTGGGGGCCGCTTCTGCTCAAAAACCATTCAAGCCTCCACGGCTCTTCCCTGACATATCAAGCTCCCTCCTGCAACGTTCAATGTATGGGCGTTTCGTGGCTTTCCAGAGCCGGCGCCCCATTCTTGCCAGCACAGTTACGGGCGGCGCAGTGATGAGCTTGGGCGATACGGCCGTGCAGCTGGCTGGGACTGGCACTTGGGACTACCAGCGGAATGGCGTTGTCAGTGCATACAACGGAGGACCGACAATACACATCACAAACCGTCTGCAATTTCATGAAGTTTTCTGTGTTAGTAGCCAGGAATGTCACCTTTCTTCTATTACTGGTGGAAGCACCTGGATAGAATTTGGCCTGGAACTGGGGTAGCAGCCGTGGTGCGGAAGACTTTCATGAACCAATTAATGGTGGCACCATTCAACAGTGCTTTGTTTCTGACTTGGAGCACGGCTCTGGAGTCAGATCCTCAGCAAGACTGTCTTTGCTGTTCCATCGCATGCATGTTGTGAATTGCTCCGGTTTTTGAGCCGCAAGTCATAAGCGAATTTGTCCGTGCAACGGACATGAGCCACTTCCAAGAGCCGCTAGGTCATTGATCAAGGGTGATTGTGTGGGAGCGGATGGTAGTGCTTCTGCGACTCTTGGTTGCAGTACCAGATCCCGTTGCAGGAAGCAGTTCGGTGTGTTGTCCGCCCTTGTTGCTGCAACTGAACATGTCGGGATGAAGCTACGCAATTTTCAGTCAAGGCAGATGATCTGCGAGAAGGCCTAGATCCTGTCTAACTACGTCGGGTTTAGGGTAAACCCTAAACCCGACACTTCGCGAAGCATCCTAAACCATAAACATCCCTAAAGATAATATATTTTTTAGCATTATTCTACAGTTTTAATATAGTATAATAAAGCCTATGCTACCCTAGTTGCAGCCGCGACAGCCCTGAGGTCGCCGGCAAAGCGAAGGCAGAGGTTCCGAGCCTGGTGATGTCTTCCTGCTGCTTCTGGCTGCCTGCGAATGCAGCCAACTTCATGCGTCTGGAATTATGCAGCAGATTTGTCGGCGCTTTTGTAGTCTGCACTATGCTTGATCAAGCAAAGCATGCTTCAGTGCTGCCGTTAAATCGCAAGCATCATGCGGGCATGCCCGACCTCAGGTTTATGCCTCTTCACTTGCGAGTCGTCTTCATGTCGTCCTGCGCGGTTGTTTGGGGAGCCTACATAACTTACGTGGCGCACCGCTGATGCAGACGCGCCTGCACCTCACGACCGTGACCACAGCAGCGTTTTGCATGGATGCGCCGGCTACAGGCACAATCTCAACAACAACCTCTGTCGTCACTTGTGCATGCTTGCAGCACCTCCCGGATGAGTTCATCGCCATGTATTTGTAGACTTCGAGCGGCTTTGCAAGCTTGCGAGATTTGGCACAGCGATGGAGGCCGAAATCTTGCAACTGAGATGGATAGCTGCACCACCAAGATGCTCTGCCAGAATCCCCCATGGATATCACGAAGCCGACACCGTCTCCAGGGCCGAATGCTTGCGCACCGCTGCAGTCTCACAGACTCTCTGAAGTTTCACTGTCCATAACAACTGCCTCGATTTCCGTATAGCTTGCCGAAACCGCCTAAACAAGGACCTGCTGTTTTCGTCTTGCATGTCTTTTTGCAAACAGCTTTCCGGTGACAATGCCACGCAGGTCTGAAACGTCGGACGACGTGAGTGCGCTCCTCAGCATTTTGCACGCACTGCCAATAAGCTGCGGCAACGTCGATTGAGACATTGTGGTGGCCGCTCAGCTCGCAAGTTGCGACAGCTGAACTGCGTAGTTTCGCTGCAGTAGGTACGGTTCATTACGAGGCAAAGCCTGCGGTCCCGCAGACAATGAATGTCCCACAAATAGGTTCCGAAAGCATTCCGGAAGGTTTCCAGGGCCTAGACCCCCGCCTTCTCAGGGAACCCAGGCTGGGCAACACAGTCTGAACCACTTTCCGAGCAGTTCTCCGATCGAAAATTTCGGCAATAGTGGTTCGCAAGCCTTGCCGTAGTCCTCCAAGAAAGAAAACATGCTGGTGTTCCGCGGAATGTGGAGCTTGTGCAGCACAATACTCAAACCGCTCTTTGAGAAGTTTTGCATAATAGTTTCGGAGCGCCAAGACCAGAGTTTAAGTATTCACTCATTCTCTTCAGCTCAGCCTTGTGGACCTTATAGCAGTAGTGCTGTGATGTCACGCTGCAATCATAGAGTTGTCTGGAAGAGCGGCAAGGTCAGCAATGTTCGACACCGGGGATGGTATGCTGGAGGTCTGAGTCTTGAGACTTGCTCTCTAAGCGACACCGTTCGAGGAAACTCATTCGAGATGAGCTGCTCTGAGGAGCGACTTCTGGACTTCCTAACAGCTGAGCCCACTGCTGATTGGGAACCTTCGTGCGCCCATGCAGCAACGACACTTGCACAGCCAAGACGTTTATGTAGGGTTGGATTCTTTTCATCCGCTGTTACACTCGCAGCTGCTGTGAGACAGTCATTTGCAGCTAGGTGCAAAACAGCACACTCTGCAAACTCCCAGTCCCGGCTCTGTTGCTGTGCCGCCCCTCCGGCCAGAGCCCCAACACGGAGCCCACTCAAAGTTGTGACAAAGCAGCAGTCGCAACCACTGAGCATCTGCATAAACCACGCTTCGCACCGCTTCGCATGGACACTTCCTGGAGCCTAGCTGCTGTGGTGCTTTTCTTGCAATGCCGCGAAGGAGCTGCCGGTCCTAGGCTCGTCGAAGGGGTTCCGTGGTCCTGTTGGCATCACGCTTTAAGATCATTATCGCTTGCTACTTGTTGAAGCGTCGACAACACATGCGGTCAACCGCCATGTGGCTTTGGCATCATCAGTCCGAGTTCCAAGTGCAAGTGGTTGGCAACAGATTGAGTGGAAAGGAGCCGCCCAGTCGCCTGACCCTTCCAGTTCATCCAACGCGTGGGACGGGAGCCCAGTCTCTCCTGACTATCTGACTCGGAAAGCCGGGGCCACAAGTTATCAATCAAGACCTTCTGAGAGGTAAGCCATGGTAAGCCCCTCGCACATCAAGAATCATCGCTGGAAAGAGCACATGGAGCACGCTAAGTCAGTGGTGGTCAGGTTCAGATCTCTGGGACCATCCTCGAGGCAAGGTGAAGCTTGGTGTGGCATGGAAGCTTCTGGAAAGGGTGTTCTGGCGATTGCACATGGGTAGTTCTCTAAATTAGGGTCCCTTCTTAGGTCCCCAATATAGTACGGCACCCTTATAATGACCCTAAAAAGGACCCTAATTTAGAAAGCTACCCACACAGGGTTTCCGATGCAGAGAGGTGGGGAACACGTTGCTGGTGTCCTTCGGGCTCTCTGAGCTTCTTCTCCGGCCCGGGAGCTCAGAGCAGCTCCGAGCTCTTAGGACAGTGCAGTGCACGCAGCAGCCGGTCGTTTGAGACTTTGCCAAGCTCTCCGCCGGAGCGTCGAGACGCTTGAAGCCAACACTTGAGAACGACGGAACGAAACGTAGCCCGCGGCGAACCAAGCAATCTTCAGCGGAAGCTGCGAAACGCAACAGCTGGGTTGACAGAGGGCAACTTCACTTCTTAGCTTTGTGTATCGCCAGAAATCAGAGATGTTTAGAAGCCATGGACGCCGACGAAGATTTTTTCGACAAGTTCAAAGACGAGAGCTATGATGATTTCTTCACCCGTGAGCAACCATCACAGCCTGCAAAGCCGTCACCACAGGCCAGGACGGAGTGCTTTGAAGAGCACCGTGCCCCCAAGCATCGCATGTTTGGCAGGCTATAAGTCTAAATGCCCAGTGAAGATTGCAGTGGTGCATAGTGGTGCTGACAGGACGACGGTCCAAGCTTCTTTGCCATCCACTCTGATGATGATGACGGAGCTGATGGCAACGATGGACCAGAAATAACTCCCTACACGGCTATGCCTCAGGCCCCCTCGCCTGAGCCCGGGTTCAGCTCTGAAGACTTGCAGCTGCACGGAGTGCTGGGGGATTTTTACTCTCGATTCAACGTGCAGAACCTCGCGAACGTGAACCGCATCGTAGAGCAATATCGTGGGAAGAATCTCACCCATCTCTTCGCAGCTCTGGCTGGCAAATATACTTTGCCAGCACCCGAAGTCATCGAGCTTGTTGCATCCTCATTGTACGTGAGCTCGCCGTTCGAATTCCCAGCGGCAGAGTCAGAGAAGCTGGATGCCCACTTGCAGCAGTTGGCAGTTGGAAGTCGGATTGCTTTTGAGGATCCTGACCACCGGGAGGAGTTGTTCATCTCAGCCCTGCAGACCCCTGCTGATGCTTCTTCGGCTGCTGCATCCTCGGCACTGCTGCACTTCTTGTGTCTGAGAGGTATCCCCAGCACCCGACTTAGACCGCAAGTCTGGCAGGTCTTACTGGGCGTCTTGCCACAAAATGCGGATATTGATGTGTTGCAAGCAGAAAAACGAAAACTGTACGAGAGTCAGAAGAGTTGCTTCCTGGTTCCCGGGAGAGACAAGCTGGAGATCAAAGCCTCTGACCGTCCCCTGAACGAATCACTCGAGCTGCTTTCGCAGATCCAGAAAGATGTACAGCGCACCCGCCAAGAGGAGGATTTGTTTCAGCAAACTGCGACGCGAAATGCGCTGATCTCGGCCTTGTTCGTTTATGCTCAGCTACATGAGGCCAGATATGTGCAAGGTATGAACGAACTCTTGGCAACTTTCTTCTACGTGTTTGTCACTGCCGGCAATGCCGAGTTTGCTGAGCACGATGCTTTCTGGTGCTTCAGCCATCTGATGCAGATGATGAAGCCAGGTAGGCCATGTACACTACACTGCACGCGAATGCGTAGAGACTTAGAGCATTGCAGAGCGTGCTGGCATCCGTAGCCGGTAGCTTCCACTGTTTCTCGACAGGCTTCATGACCGGCGACCAATCCACCGACGGAATGTATGCTCAAGTCAACACCTGCGAGAGCCTTCTCAGAAGTGACGTGGATGGGATTTAGGTTCGGAGAGTAACGTGCCTTCCGTTTGTATGTCGGATCGGTTGTGTACCTGTTGTTAGGCCGCAAAACTGGCCAAGCAGTGACTTCCTCCAAACAGCAGCTAAGAATATGACCCGGAGCTCGCACGCCATCTTGTTCAGCATGGGTCTCCTCACTTTGCTGTGGCTTTCCGCTGGTGCACTTTGCTGTTTGCGCGGCCCAGCTGCAGTTCTGCAGTATGTTGGCCACGGCTTGAGCTTCGACTACTGAGTTGAGACATCCAGATCTCAAATTCAGTTAAAGGCATGAGGTCGAGTTTGAAATATGGCCGCTCATGTTGGCAGTTGCAGGCAGGATGCGAATCTGCCAGATCTGCTTCGACTCTGGGACTCTTTCATCGGGGATCCCATGGGTTACGAGCTGATTGTCTACGCTTGCCTCGCATCTTTATTATCCTGTCGCGCCTCGCCTGCATCCCGGAAGGTTTTTGCTTTTAGTGATGGCCTCGGCACTTTCTGGGTAGGTGACGATTTGCTGGCGGCAGATGACGAGTTCCAGCTGGCAGAGATTATGCGTGGAGCGCCGCGGCGAGACGTCAACAGCCTGCAGAGGCACATGCAAGTTCAACCCACATGTCGTCTCTTCTGAAAAGTTCAGAGGGGCCACGAAATGTCGAGTCTTGAGTATTGGTTGAAGCAAGCAGTGCCAGGCGCGCATGGGCAATCTGTGCCCTGGAACGTCGGGTGCCGCTGGTTCGCAAGACTTGGGGTTCAGAAACCGGCGCTAGTTACAATTGTTTTTTCTTCCGCGTGTGCCGGCCAGACACTTTACACTTTCGTTTTGTTTTGGATCGAGTGCTGTGACCCGCTCGTCATGCCTTTCCACGGCCCCCAACATGGCTGGCATCCCGCCATGCCTGGAAAGTAAGCTTTCTGAATTCCGAAGATATCAACCGCCCAGTCTATGATCTTTTCTGGGGCTCTCGGCTCGCTCCGAGGCAGACTCCGCCGTTTCCGGCTCGTTCCGTCGCGCAGGTGGTGGAGCAGCCAGGACCTGAGAGCAGCTGCAGGCTCTCTGCTCTCCTCACTTGGAGGATCATGGGACTT